GTTATCTTTCTTATTATATTCGTCAACAATGTGTGGTGTGTATTCTTATTTCAATTTACTTGACTCCAATATAGTTCATGTGTTCAATGAAAGCCCAAAATAAAATAGGTAAAACTTTGTATTTATATTGTCTTAGAATTTACACAATCCACAAGCATACACAAGCGGAGAGCTCGCGGTCACAGTATCACTTCTGGGTATCTCGAATTCCAGGTAAACTTACTAAATGACTGGACTATGCCAGGCTCTTTCTTTTTAGTAAAATTATGCGGTGGAACAACAAAATAACGCAATGGGAATGTTTAGTTCAACAGTGAACAACATGTATAACGATGATTATGATCACGTGAACGTAGATATAAATAACAGGATTTGTAGAAAAATTGAATGAGAAATAATAACAGCCAACGAGATAGAACGAATAATATTACCTGCTGTCGAAATGTGTGTTTACTTTAGATATCCGTCCACACCAGACGTAATAAGCTTTGTCCAACAAACTTGTCAAGTATAATACTGAATTGGAATTTGAAAATTCAGTATTAGGTAGAAGTCGAAATGTAAATATCCTAGTCAATGAAATTTACGGGGAAATGGGGCTGTAGTCTACAAATCTCAGTTTGTAAAAATCATTTGTGATGGCCTTGCATAATTAAACTGTCAAACACCGCGAGGACACCGGTGACCGCAACCTATTGTTCTTTAATTGTGTCTATAATGACGGTACTCAACGAGTTAAATTAAAAACTGAATTCATTTTACTATCAGCAGCACAATCCGAATGTTATTTCTTTCAATAAACTTATTTGCTGGTATTACGTAAGCATTGTTTTAGAACCAAACTTTATTTCAGGTTAGGTTAGGCTAGACTAACCTTAAATAAAGTTAGATTTTAAAGCTTTTTAACTAACCTATCCTAACCGCCAACAATGGCAGACTTCGCCGAGGGGTCCTGGTCGTAAAGGCTCATCCGGTCTCCCAGACGCCCTCAAATAGCGCCACAGGTGACCCTGGGTTTTTAGTGGGTATCGGGCTTTTTCTGGAGAGTCCCATAAATTCCTCTCATTCCCCGACGGGAGGACGAAACATAAAGTATTTTTTATTATAACTATCGTGAGATATAGTAAATTAATTAAAAATCGCGGATTACTGACGTGAATATATCAGATCAGTAGACTGCGCGACATCACCGCGACCGCGCTTACGCTGCTCATGAGGGAGACCCCCTCTGTGGTTCGAAACTAGTAGAGCTTTTTTCAGTATATTCACGTGAGTAACCCGAGATTTTTAGATAATAAAGTATTTTCTCAGTGTAAAAAAGGTTAGGTTAGAAATCTAAAAATAGTTTTAAAACCTAATCTTAAACAGACGGAGTAGGTCCTGTGGTTAGTTCACTATATCATTGGTGGCGTGTTCGCAAGTGCGGTTTTATTTCCAAGTTGAAAAATTGGAGTTAAATTATTTTTTCCAATGTTTCTCAGTTGCAGCCCGAACTATTATTACTTGGGACTCATCATAACAGAACCACACAACCCAAAAAGTCGATGATTCTCCATTAAGGAGATTAAAATGGGTGTGGTTATATTAATGACAAATCCTTGTGATGAAATACACAATATTTGACAATAATAAACTAACGCTCACTTACAAAAATAGGACTATCTAACATACCAGATATTATTTTTATGTTACCTCATCCGTGCTCGACGCCTCAAAGAAAATAGACGCTATCCAAAGACTTTGAAACAGGTACTCACATGACACTTGAAACCTTATAAGACCCGTAAAGTTGAAGGAGGTATCGTAATCCAGACGAAAACCTATGTACTTAGATATTACCTATATTTTCGAAGTTCGATACAATATCTAAAAGGTGTCACATGATGTCGCTCAAAGCGGTGTATTTTACCAAATATATTTTGCTACAGCTACTATATTTTTAGGGTTCACATATACAGGTTAATCTCAAGATGTAACGAAGGGTTCCTTTTATATTTTGTCTTTCAATAGCCTCAGGATTGTACAGTCAAAGGTCAAAAGTCCACATCGTGAGCGATGTTACACGGTAATGCGTAAGTAATTTCATATTAAACTGTCAAACACCAAGCGGTCACCGGTGACCGCAACCTATTGTTCTATAATTTCAAATTCAAATTCAAATTCAAAATTTTTTATTGCATATCATGTGTACAATTGTTGGTGTTACATGAGGTACAGTTTCAACATGAAACCCGGCTAGGGCACAGCAACATATGGAGCAAAATATGATCTAACTAAACTACTATTAATAGTTATTATATTATAACATAAGAAATGTTGTTTTCGTACTAAACATTAAAGAAAGAAGATATTTATTTATTTTATTATAATATGTATTTGCATAAATTTCTTAATAATGGTGTTATTGTATGTAGTACATGTATTATTATATTTAATATGATTTTTATTGAGTAGGTAGGTATGCATTGAGTATTAAGTTTTGCTGCTAGCTTGGTCATCAAAAAACTCATTAAGGGTGTAGTAACATTTTTCAATGAGGAACCGTTTTAATTTATTTATAAATACGTTATATTTTTCTGCTTCTTTTATGTATTTCGGTACAGCGTTATATATTTTTATTGACATTACTAGGGTGCCAGATGAATACATATGAAGTCGGGAGCTCGGTAGGTTTAGTCTGGTTTTGTGTCTTAAGTTGTAGTCTGTCTTATTGTCACGTGTACTGTAATATTCTGGGCGGTTTCTGACAAATTTACAAATTTCCAAGATGTAGGTGCATATCAAAGTAAGTATTTTATGATTTCTAAAATGTGGTCTACAGCTGTCGGTTTGTTCTATATTTGTCATTATTCTGATTAACTTTTTTTGCATGGTAAATATGGTCTGTGAGTCTGTACTATTGCCCCATAGTATTATGCCATAGCTTATCCACGCTTGGGCATAAGCATAATATGTGGCAAGTGCGGTTTTAAAGTTGGTGGATTTTTTTATTTCATATAGGGCGTAGGAAAATTTCGATAACTTTGATTTAATTTTTTG